GTAGATGATGTACTAGAAAGGGCCTGGCCCCTGTGGTCTGTAACCACGACGCTGTGAACATACTTCATCGCCATATCCATATCCCCGTTCCATATCCCTTACCTGAAGTTGCTGAGTTTATTCTAGGACACATGAGCAAACTCAAGAACATGTGCTACGTACGAAGACAAAGGAGTTGATTTCACCCATGTAAAGTTCCCCTCATTTAGTTTCTAAGTTAATTTTCACCCAGCTTGAGGCATGGGTCCCTCTAAAGAAACTGAAGTTTGCAAAAGGCATTTGGGTGATGGTGCTGGATTATAAGTAAAATATAAAATAATAATATTGGGGTATTGAAAAGCATGCTCACAAAACCATGAGTGTCTGAAGCCTTTCTGGCCGAAGGGCATTTGATCCTCCTATGGCTTTGGGGATGGAGAGAGAGAAACATAGGAAGGAGAAGGGTCCAGAAACAAAGTCAATTGAATACCAAAGGGCTCTTCACCAGAGCTAAGTTTCCACATCTTTCTCATTGCACCTCTGAGCCCTGCCATCCCATCCCTGCTTAAAAGAGTCCGAAGCAATTTTTAGAAAGAAGTTCCAAAAATCACTCCAAAAGAAACTAAAACTCTGCCCTTTGCTTTTCCTTCTCTGCACCCTGAAGTTGAAATCTTCCTTCATGCTCACATCAAACCTGAGACACCAGGTTCCCTAGAGCTGTTTTTTTATTCAGCATTATTTCTGAGCATTCTGCCAAGCACCTGTGGGTCTTTAAAGGAAATGTGAAAAGGTAGCAAAGACATTCATACAGCAAGACATGTGGCTCAGGAGAGGAGCACATAAATCAAAGCCAGAGAGAAGCCTGCTGGCAACCCGGAAATCAAATTGTGTCTGGGAGAGGACCGTGCGGAAAATAGATTAGAAGGGCACTGAGCAGGAGAGGAGAAAGACAGGCAGCCCCTCAAAAATTAATGGGAGGCAGATGAAGCCTGGAGAAGTAGCCTGAGTTCACAAAGAGCCTTGCACTGCCTAAGGATGGACCAGTGTCTCAGCAAGTTATAGCAGTTCCTGCCTGGGTAACGCAATGGTTACCCATCTCTATATTCTTCTTTGTGTAAAAGTTGTTTTGAAACTTTGTCAATGATGCCCAGGTGCGGAGGGTGCGAATTTCTTCCTTTTTTAACTATACATCTCCACACCTTTGTTAATGTTCTTTGCTTTTTGAGACAGGGTCTCATGTAGCCTGAGCCATCTTCCAACTCATTGTTATGGAGGATGGTCCTGAACTCCTGATCCTCCTGCCTCCACCTCCCATGTGCTATCATGCCCTGTTCATACCCACAAGTTCTGCACCATGGATTCAAACAGCCATGGACTGAAAATATTTGGGAAAATAATTGCAAGTTCCAAAACATTGCCCTGTGTATGGTGCACACCTTTAATCCCTGCACTCAGGAGGAAGAGGCAGGCAGATCTCTGTGAGGCCAACCTGGTTTACATAGCAAGTAACAGGCCAGTCAGGGGTACATAGTGAGACCCTGTCTCCACAAACAAAGTTCCAAAAAGTAAAAGAATTTGCCGTGTTAAATGTTATGTTGAATCCATGGAGATGAAGTGATGTGTTGTGTAGGTATTGGGTATTATAAATAAATAAAGTAACAAAGTATTTGTGAGGGTGTACAGAGGGTCTATGCAAACATCACACCATTTTATACAAGAGAATGGTGCATCCACTTTGCTCTCTGTGGGGAGTCCTAGAACCAGTCCCCTGAGACATCAAGGGACCACCCTACACCCGTTCTCCCTTTCACTCCAACTATGCTGTTGAGGTAGAGAAGTCTCTTCATCATCTCCCAACCAGTCCTCCAGTCCTCTCAAAGAAACTAATTTTTGTAAGGTGAGAGACATCCTTTAGGAGTAAACTTGGCCCACGATGTGATTAAACTGATCAGGCTTTTTGATCTTGCATGCTTGGGGTGCATGATGTGATTAGGAGAACAGACACAGGCCATCCCTACAAGCTGCCACGAGGTTCTATTGGGGCTGCCCACCTTTCCAAGTCAGAAAAGTGCAACCTTTTTCTTTTTTCTCTTTCTTTTGGGGGCTGACCATACCCTAAGCACGCCCATTCTGGCTGGGCTTCCTTATGCTTTCTCAAAAGCCTCCTTCCCAACCTTGTGGCTGCCTGCTGCCATAAACGGACCTCCATGATGGCTTAAATGGCAAGACCTTTTTCTTTATCTTCTCCATTCTCCTCCTTCAAGAGAAGAGGCATAAATCCCATATCTATCACCGTAAAAATCTGTACATTTATACATTAACTTAATTTTTAGCTTACAGCAACCAAGGCACTATACTTAGGCAGTACATCAATCCAGTTAGTCATTATCTCCCAGTCATCCAAATTCTCGTTCTCCTTCTTTTCCTCTACCACAGGAACCTGGCAACTTCCCATCAAGACCCCAGGTGAGGACAAGCTGATGTGACAGACAGCCTTCAGCTGATCTACAATAGACAATGCAATATGAGAAATGAGTCTGTTGTTTGAACCATTTAGTTTGCTTTTGTTCTTTGGGTTTTGTTTGAAACAGGGTCTCACTATATAGCCCAGTTTGGCCTTGAACTTGAGATCCTCCTGCTTGTTGTTATGGGTTTTTTTTTTGTTTGTTTGGATTTCAGTCTCACCTTTAAAAAATTACTTTTTTTTTTTCTGTCTTTTTGAGACAGGGTCTCCCTATAGCTCCAGCTGTCCTGGAACTCACTATGTAGACCAGGCTGGCCTTGAACTTACAGAGATCTACCTGCCTCTGTTATGGTTTTTATTACCTCAGAACAGTTTAGCATTCCTGCAGGATATAGGTTGTTAACTTGGTACTGCTATAACAAAACATCTCAAAGAGTCACCTTAATAAGGGAAAACTTTGCATTTGCTAATGGTTTCAGAGCTTTAAGTTTATGGTTGCTTGACCCTGTTGTTGTACAGCATCATGGCAGGAATAGCAAAAAAAAGGCTGCTCATCCCATGAAGGCCAGGAAGCAGGGAACGGGGAGCTTTCCCACCATGCCCTTCAAAGCTGTGCGCTCAATGACTTCACTGTCTCCCACTAGCCCTACCTCTTAAAGGTTCCACCATCTCCCAGTAGTTCCAGGGATTGGTGACCACGTCTTCAAAATATAAGCCTTTGAGGGACACTTCAGGTACAAGTGACAGGACACGTGATGCCATTCATGGAGCTCCGAGATGTCCTTGTTCCTACCTTGTTTACATGTCATTCCACACACATTTCTGAGCCTTGCTCAGAGGATAAGGAACATCAGCACATTGGCCACAAGGGACTCTATGTGGCACTGAGGTCTATCTGCCCAAACATTCTCTACACTTGGTGGTGGGGGGGTGTCTCATTTCTCTGAGGTTCTGCTGGGGTTAGGGGAGTCTGAGATTGCCTCTCTCCTAGCTGCAGCTTCTAGCTACTTCCATTTTCCTCCAGGACCTTAGCTGGCTTTCCTTACAACTCCCCACAACAGTTACTCTCCTCTTCCTTTTCCTACAAGTCCTGCTTGACCTGCTACAACTCTTAACCTGGCTTAGGCTGAAAGCCTTGTTCTGAGCCACACTGCACTTACTGGAGGCAGTTCTCTCTGCCACTCACCCCCTGGTACTCTGCTTGGCACTGGGGATGGGGGTGTGTTGCCACCTGAATGAAGGAGACTATCTCAAACCTCCACAATTTGTTTGGTTTAGGAAGGCAAGGCCAGCTTTATGTTCTGCTACACCTGAGTAGTGAGCTTTAAAAACTCAGAAGCCAAGAATTACCCCGGCCAGGACTCTTGAATTCTGCTGGATCCTATGTTGCTTCAAGGCAGTCAGGAATAATACAGCTTCCTGGAGAGAGCAAAAAATCAAGAGAATGGAGGGATGGAGGCAGTGGTGGGAGGTGATCTTAAATGGTATTTAAAAATATTGTCTTGTATAATATTTTTCCCTGTTATGAAACTGAAAATTAAAGAGGGCTTCTTTCATTTAAAACCCTATTGTGCAACTTTTTTCTAGGGAAGATATGAACAAGACATTGACAGACCAAGAAATGACTCTACTCAAGTGTAGGTTAGTGAAGCAGACCTTTATTGGGGTTACTTACAGGAGTGTAAGTGAGCACTTATTTGCAGGGCTATGGATGATTCAAAGGTAGCTGCATCACTGAAGAAAAGCCCACTCCAGCTCAGGTGAAGACTCACAGAAATCTGCATCCCTGGAGCCCCCTGCACGCCTTGCAGGAAGATCAGCCTATGGGTGAGTCTCTGCTCCACAACAATTTACTACTTTTAAAAACTTAGGGAGGAGCCTTGTGGATCTTGTAAAGTTTCAGGAGCTTTCTCAGACTCATAAATTTTGTTTACTTCCTGAGCTTTAATGAATGCACTTTGCATACTATTATCCTTGCAAAACCCTGTGGGAAAGGGTGCAGAGTTCTGGGGATAGCATCACAAACTCTAGAAACAGTTAAATCCTGAGAGCTATGTCTCCCACAAATATCTACATTTGCAAGAACTACCAAATAACAAGGCATGTAGTCTCCCCCTTCTTAAACCTTTCCACTGCAGGGCGTGTGCTCAACCAGTCACTGGGGTCCTGAAAAGGATGCCTGGTCTGCCCCAGGTACATGAGGGAAACCCAAGCTATAAATCAGGGTCCTATGGGTCTCCACGAGAAGACACAAAGCATTCAAGTCTCAGTAGGCGACACCTCAGTTGTCATCTGTGATCCCCACGAGGCCTGGGAGCGTTTCCTGTGGGAGGCGTGGACGTGGCAATGTGTGACATAGCGACTGCCATTCACATCCTGATGACCCGTTTTGCAACATTAGGCACATTCCTGGTGTCAGTACAAAACCCCCAGTCAACCCAGTTCTCTCCTCCTTTCAACAGACCGTGAAAGTCTGTCTAAATCAAACAAAGCTCAGGAACTGGCTTGAGTTTCAAGTCGGAGTCCTTCTCGGGGCGGGGCGGGGCGGGGCGGGGGCCCGGAAGGGGAATCCTCGCGAGGCCTAGCGGCCGGTTCTTGCTCGAGGCCCGGCGCTGTCCCGGCTGCCTGGCTGGCCTTGCCCGGGTGTCCTCAGCGCACGGAGCCTGTGAGCGGCGGACCTCCGGACCTCGCTGGTCTCTGGCTGCAATGGCCGCGGTCGCAGGCCTGCGGGCCTTTCGGGCGAAGGGACCCACCTGGCTCCGGCGTGGCCCGTGGGCCCCTCGCTCCGCAGGCTTCTGCAGCCCTGGGGCGGCGGGGACCGCGCGGCTGGAGTCGGAGCCCCGGCCCACCAGCACGCGGCAGCGGGACGGAATCAGGTCAGCGCCAACAGTGCGAGGGCTCTGCGGGGGTTGGGCGCCAGAACTCTGGATAAACAGAGGAAGCCTCAGGCCTGGCCGCGCTGAGCCCCCAGTTATCCGTCACTACCAGTCTGGTTGGTTTCATCTCTTGGGTGGAGGAATCCCAGCGTACTGAGTGTGCAGGTGTCCCTTCCCTGGACACAGCAGCACGTCGTACACACGAGGTTGTTGAGTGGAACCGCCTGGGATGGCCCATTGCTCCACCTCAACCCTCATGGCTCAGCTTAGAAAGCCCATCACAAGAGAGATCGAGGCACCTTGGGCAGGCTCCAGGGTTATAACGAACATGCTTAGCTGAGCTGCATCTAAAGTGCAGCGGGTCAGGGTAGGATAAAGGGCACACCACGGTGAGCTCTGCCCTTTTGCAAAACAAACCGAAAAGTCTTAAAGCTGTATCAGTGCACAGTTTGGACTATGTTACAGTAATGTAAGCCTGACCATTTGCCTGTCAAGGGCAAGTCATGTTTCCATGTTTAAGAGTTACAGATCAAGCCATTTAAGTGTGTATTCTCTCACACAAACAAGTAGCCCTACCCAAGACCTCGTTTGGCTTTTTAAATCCTCACTCAAGACTCTGGAGCAGAGAACCAGAGGTGAGGGGTGAGTTGAAAGAGGAAGATGGCCCAAGTCACCCCTCAGAGCAGCCTAGTGGCCATAACAGTGAACAAACAGATTCAGAACTATGGAGAGAGGCTTGAACGAGGGCTAATGACTGAGCAATGTCAGCACAGAGGGAACAGTTGATGTCAAGGCCACTGGTGAAGTTGCCCGGGAAGTGGGTATAGAGAAAGAGGGCAAAGGATGGAACTCTGAAGGTCTCCTCCCAGAAGCTAGGAGCCCACAAAACTCGTCAAGAAGAGATTAGATAAAAATTGTGTTTCCACAACCGGAGAGTGATGCAGGCGGCCAGTGGATCTGGTCCTAGCATTTAGAAGATGACCAAGGAGGAGGATTTCAGTACAGTGGTGGGACTAGAAATCTGCACCTGAAGTCACAAAGTGAACTCAATGAGTGAGAACTCTGACAGTGTGTGATGAGTGCAGGATTCACGGAACATACATTGAAACAGATGCTGCCACAGAATAAACCCATTTGGACTGAAAACTTTTTGTGCAATTTTGTGTATAGCCTTAGAATTTAATTTAAGCAGATGTCAACAGTGGAGGTGGCAGCTTGTGTGTGTGTGTGTGTGTGTGTGTGTGTGTGTTTAGACCAGAGAACAACCTCATGTGTCATTCCTCAGGTGCCTTCTACATTTTTTCAGACAGGGACCTCTCACTGGCCTGCAGCTTACCAAGTAGGCTAAGCCGAGTGGCCAGCAAGCTCTGGGAATTGACCTTTTGCAGCCTCCCCAGGGCTAGGATTTCAAGTACATGCCACAGTTCCCAGCTTTTTCAGAAATGCGGGTTCTGGGGATCAAACTCAGGTCCTCACACTTACACAGCAAGCACTTTACTACCTGAGCCATTTTCCCAGCCTCAGGGATGACAGCTTTTTTTGTCATATTCGTTATTCTGTTGAAAGGTTATAGGCCTTTCACACTCCCCGAAACACAGGTTTCTAAGTATCCACAGATCAGCTGCAAGTAATTTCTGTACTTAGGAGAGAATGTTTATGAAAAACAAAACAAGACCACAGCTACCTGAAAACTGCAGTGAAACTGAAATGGTATCCCAAAGAGAATGATTACTCTCATTGTGCTGAAATAAACTCAGCCATCAAAGTTGTTAAAAAGCAAACCTTCTGGGTGCTATTTACAGAGGACCCAAATTGGCCGTGTAGCACTAGGAATGTCAGATACAGAAGAGAATGAGGAAAAGCAGAGAATGTGAGTGGGTGGGGACTGATGGGAAATATAAAGTATATAACAAGAATCTGCTGTTTGGTTCAATGCCCATTTTTTACGACAGCAAAAATAAGACATTTCTGTGTCAGGCCGTCAGATGACAATACAGGTTGTTTTGCTCAGAGTGTGGGAGACTTTGAAACAGCGAACAGGCCCTTTGGTTGCCAGCTATTTGTGAGATGATATGCCTTATTGTGTGGTTTTGCCCTTCTGTTCTTCATACATCATCTGTTCTTGGACTGTGCAAATTATCCTGCAGAATTGCAGGGCGCCACTAGAAGACATTAAAAATGCCATTATATGTACATGCTGGCAGCTGTGTGTCAGTCAGCTACCTTTTCTTTGGGGTGGGTGGGAGGAGATTGGGGGGTGGTATTTTCATTCTTGGCTCCTTTCCTGCCCTCATTCCAAAGTTGCAGGTCGGCCACTTGTCAGATCTGCTTGGCCCTGCTGCTGTCATCCGAAACTCACATCCTCTATAGACAGAGATGATTGGGGGACTGCTGTGACTTGCCCTTTCTGTGGAGGTGACAGTCGTGTCTCTGACAGAACATGTGGGGAGGGAGAAGCAGAAACAAATCAAGGGACCAGAGAGAAAAGACTAGACTGCCTTCCAGGTCATCTTTCCGCTTATTTTGACTCAGCTGTCACTCCAGAATGCCAACGGACCCTCTAAATTGGCACTAAGCCCTGGCAGTTCTCTATTCTTGGGTTTTAAAATTGCTTCTAAATTAGAAGGGAATTGCAGGGGTCCTCGCTTGTTTTGACTGGTACATGACCCAGGGATTATCAAATGTTTTTCACAGGAATATTGTCTTGAGCAATCCCAAGAAGCGGAATGCGCTGTCACTGGCCATGCTGAAATCCCTCCGAAGTGACATTCTTCATGAAGCTGAAAGCAAGGACCTGAAAGTCATTATAATTTCAGGTATTTCTCTAAAGTCTGTCATGAGTGTTCCATGGTGCCCAGAGAAGCTTTCTCAAAATTTGTCAGTTAACTGCAATTTTCCTTCCTTCCTTAACTTTGACCTCCTTTGAAGAACATCTAAAACTTTTGTGTAGCTGGGGGGCTTGTTAACTGTCGGAATTGTAGCAAAGAATCCTGCTCACTGGAATCATGTCTTTTTGTTAGATACTAAATATCACTTTACTTTCCTAATACCAGGTCTTCTCATCAAACACAGAGAATTTTCAGGAGACTGGTGTATTAGTTACTTTTCCATTGCTGTGACAAAATACCGTAACCAAGGCAACTTATAGAAGGAGGAGTTTGTTTGCCTCATAGGTCCAGAGGGGTCGGACTCCATCATGTGAGGAGGTATGGCAGCAGAGAAAGAAAGTGGAGCCTAACGTCTTCAAGCAGGCACAAGAAGCAGAGAAAGAGAGCTGGAAGTAGGACCTGGCTTTTAACCCCTGGTGACATACTTCTTCCAGTGTGGCCACAGCTCCTAAAGGTTCCATGACTCTAAACCGTGCCATGAACTGATCAAGTGTCCAGATACTTGGAGCCTATGGGAGATGCTTATTCAAACCACCTCAGCTGGGTAGATAGCCCAATCAGTATAGTCTTGCAAGCAAACGTAGTCTTGCAAGCATAAGGACCTGAGCTCGAGCCCCAGAATCCATGTTAAAAGCCAGGCGTGGTGCTGCATCCAGCAATGGTGATATGAGAAGCAGAGACAGGTAGATTCCTAGAGCTCCCTAGCCTGTGAACCTAGCCTAGTTGATGAAGTTTCAAGCCAATGAGAGACTCTGTCTCTAACAAAAAGTGAAACTTACCTGAACAACAACACCTAAAGTTGTTATCTGACCTCCACATGCATGTATACATATGTTCACATGTGTACTCATATACACACATGCACCCCCACACATGACTACACAGACAGAATCAGAGTTGGGATGTGTCTTAGTTTATTTCTTCATTGCTGTGACAAAACACTCTGACCACTACCAATTTGGGGAGGAAAGGGTTTATTTATCTTACAACTCCCAGGCACAATTCATCAGGGGGCCCAAGGCAGGAACTCAGGGCAGGAACCTGGAGACAGGAGCTGGAGCACAGGCCATAGAGGAATGCTGCTTACTGGCTTGCTCCCTTGGCCCCTGCTCAGCCTGCTTTCTTATGTAGCACAGGCCCACCTGCCCAGGGGTGGCACCACCCACAGTGGGCTGGGCCCTCCCACATCACTCATCAAGAAGATGCCCTTCAGACATGGCCACAGGCCAGTCCAATAGAGGCAATTCCCCGATTGAGGCTCCCTCAACCCAGATGTGTCAAGTTGACACTAAAGCTATCCAGCACAGGATACAACTCAGTGGTAGAGTACTTGCTAGTACACACACTCCTGAAATCCTGTGGTTTTAGAACCACAAAAAAAAAAAACAAAATTAAATTAAAAAAAAAATCAAATCAGAGAATCAGTTTCTTCACAGACTCTAGAAGACGGATTTAATCATTTAATCCCCTTGATAAGTCACAATCAGCTAGGATCTGAGCTATTGGAGCATTTGATTGGTTTGTGTTTTCTATTTACCAAACCTTGCCATATCATCTGTATTAGTTACTTTTCTGTTGCTGTAATAAGACACCATGACCCAGGCAACTTATAGAAGGAAGAGTTTATTTTGTTTATGCTTCCAGAGGGTTAGAGTCCATTGCATGGAGGCATGGTAACAAAGGTGGCCAGAGCAGAAAGCCAGGTACTCGCATCTTTAAGTAGGCACAGGACACAGAGGGGGACTGGAAATCTGGCAGAGCTTAAGAACTTTCAAAGCCAGCCCCATTGACATGATTTCCTCCATCATGGCCATACCTCCTAAAGTTTCCCAAAGCAGCACCAGTAACTAGGGACAAAATGACCAAATGCTTGGAGCCTATGGGGGCATTCTCATTCAAACCACCACATTCCACTCCCTGGCCCCCATGGGCTCTTGATTATAAAAAATGAAAAATACACTTTCCACCTTCAAAAGCCCCATAGTCTTCACCAGTCTTAATACGATTTAAAAGGTCCAAAGTCCAAAATGTCTTCTGTGACTCAAGGCAATCTCTTAACTATAAGGCCTATAAAACCGAAAGACAAATTATATACTTTCAACATACAATGGAACCGACTACACATTTTCCTTCCAAAAGAGAGGAATGGGGACATAGTGAGAAAATACCAGATCAAAACAAGACCACCAGGGAAAAACACTAAATCTAGTAGCTCCACGTCTGACTTCTGGACTTCACTTCCAAAGGCCTTAGATGGCTCATCCAAGTTTGCTGCATGCAACACACATTTCTGTCTTAGGCTGGTACTACTTCCTGTATGCAACTCTCCTTAGCAGATGTCTCATGGATCTAGCATCTCCAACATCTTTTTGGAGTCTCCACTGCCAACCAGGCTTCACCTTCTTAACTTCACAGTGACCTGTCAGGGCCTTCTTTATCAGGGAAACCCCTGCTGCACAGTGCCTGGCCTGGGTGGTTCTCCAAGACCTTGGAAGAAGAACTGATCACCGCTTCACTTACACCTTTCATGCCTCTAAAGCCATGTAAACAACACTGCCAAGTTTGACTGACAGTTGGGGTGGACCCTGCCTGCTTCATCCACATTACCAGTAGGCTTTGTGGGTTGCAGCTTTCTAGGAGAAAAGTCCTTAGGCTTTTTTCTTTCACAAGTAGGAGATTTAGCTGGGTGTGGTCTTGCCCTGAAGGTACTCTTTCCATAGTTTAAGAGCAAATCTCTAAGCCTCTCCTTACTCTAATCTCCTTATCAAAGAGAGCCTCTCCTCAGGCAGATCTCTGTGAGTTCAAGGCCAACCTGGCCTACATAGTGAGTTCCAGGTCAGCTGGGGCTACAGGGAGACCCTGTCTCAAAAAAACCAAAAAAAAAAAAAAAGAGAGAGAGAGAGAGAGAACCTCTCCTTCAGCACATGCCTTGGCTCCAACAGTATTAAGCTTCCTAGTGCTCTTTTTCTCTCCAAACCATACATTTTGCATTCCTTTCTGCCACACTTGTTCTTTTTCACTGTAGATCTGCACATATTCACCATTAATAGCCTTGCCACCATTTCTACATTAGGCTGTCTTTAAATTTCCTCCATCACGCTACACCTAAGGCTCACAGAACATAGAACAAGGTATGAGGAGAACACTAATACATCTTTCAGTTCTCATCAACGAAGCTCCCTCATGCAACAGGAAAGCAAAAGGTCACAAATGTCCAAAACACAAAGAATGAGAGTCTGCAGAATATGGGTCCGCTATGTCAAAATCCAGGGCTCAGGGACCAATATGGAAGAGGGAGTGGAAAGATTTTAAGAGCCAGGGTGGAGGTGCAGGACCATGCGGAAATAGTCCTACAGGCTCCTGGAAGTCTTCTCATGTGAACTTACAGCAGTGGTGTCAGCGTGCACAAGACCCATGCAAATCTAAGCAGACAAAGCCCAGCATAGAACTGGAAATGAGCAGCAGACCCCAATCTTAGTTGAAGAATTATTGGCAGCTGATGACTGCTGGGTGAGGAAGAGCTGATCTTCTCAAAGGGAGAGACTCTAGGTAGGCTGACTAGATCCCAGTAGATGAACTTGCACTGAGGGACATCTGGGGACACTAACTTTACATGCTAGGCCTTAACACAAATGACAGAATGTATAAACTCCAGTTGGGGGCTATGGGATGGTGCCAAAGAGGAAGGGAGTATAAAGATGACTTTCTGTGTGAAATACACAAAAATTTAATAAAAAATTTCCTCCACCCAAGAAATTAGTCCATTACTTTTCAATTTAGCCTTAGGCACGCTCTTAGGCTTGGGCAGACAGCAGTCAGATGCTTTCCAACACTTCCCAGTTGCTTATTTTCCTCTGGAACTACTTTGATCTCAAACTACCTTTTTCCAGGCTCCTATGAGAATATCCTATTAAGCTCTGCTTACAGCAATCAACTGCTTTTCTAGTCCAAACTTCCAAAGTTGTCCATGTTTCTCCAAAAACCCACATGGTCAGGTTCTTCATAGCAGCACCACACTCTCCTGGTACCAACTTCTGTGTTAGTTACTTTTCTGTTGCTGTGATAAGACACCAAGGGAACTTAGAGAAGGAAGAGTTTATTTTGCTTACAGTCCCAGAGGGGTAAGAGGATATCACTGCAGGGGAGGCATGGCAGCAAAAGTGGCCAGAGCAGAAAGCCAGGTGCTTGCATCTCCAAGAGGCACAGGAAGCAGAAGGTGAATGGCAATCTGGCAAGGCTTATGAAGTCTCAAAGCTCATCCCCAGTGATGTCCTTCCTCCAGCATGGCCACACCTCCTAAAGTTTCCCAAAACAGCACTACCAACAAAGGACAAAATGTCCAAATGCTTGGAGCCAGTGTAGGAAATTAGCAATCAAACCACCACACAATCTTTAATGATGTCAAAAAGTGTGTCCTAAAAAAAAGAAGCAACGCCAGGTGTGGTGGTGCCTTTAATCCCAGCACTTGGGAGACAGAGGCAGGCAAATCTCTGTGAAAGCGAGGTCACCATGATCTACATCTACATAGCAAGTTCCAGGCCAGCTGGGGGTACAGGGAGACCCTGTCTCAAAAAAAAAAAAAGTGGGTGGAGAGATGGCTCAGTGGTTAAGAACACTGTTCTTGCAGAAGACCCGGGTTCGAATCCCAGCACCCACATGGCAGCTAACAACTGTCCGTAACTCCAGTTCCAGGGGATCCAACAGCCTCTTTTGTCCTCCACAGGCATTGCAGGACATGGTGCACTTACATACATGCAAGCACAACGCTCATACACATAAAATAAAAATAATAAATAAAATATTTAAAAAACAAAACAAAAAAAGGTGCATCCTATTTTGCCCATCCCTTCCCTTTCTTTTTCCAATAAGAATTTTATAGGATTATCATTTCATAGGGCACTGTGGATCATAGTCCTATCAGCATCTTCAAGCACCCCCTGAAAAATACAAGAGGTAATGCTCCTGATACTTTGTTTGGTTAAGGGTCAGTGTTTCCAGATATGCAGATTTACCTTATTAGCAATGGCCAAACAGAAATTTTCAACTGTTTTATATGGTGGAAGAAAAATACATTCAAAATAGCAGCTTGCAGAAGGACATGAGGCATAACCTGGATGCCGCAGAAGCTGCAAAGCCCTGAACGACACCATTTTCTCACTTATAAAAACAGGATAATATTGCCTGTCAAAAGGGAATTAGGAGAAAATATTCTCAACTTATCAGTGCAGTGACATTTTTGTTGTTAAGGGTGTTGATAGAGGCCACATCGTCAGCTCTCTGTAAAATTAAAAGCTTGAGCCAGGTGGTTCCCATGTTCTGTTCATACTCTGACCTACACCAAATGACAGGGGCATTGCTTAAGGCATGGTGGATTTCAGAGGACCTGCAGGAGTGGAAATACTTAGACCAGATTAAATTTGAAAACAAGCATGAAACCAAAGAGAGTTCTGTGAGAGCACCTTGCCTTGGCCATGAGTTGTCTTTTATAACTGCATATTGCCATTGGTTTCCAGTAGGAACCTCAGGAGACAGAGGCCTCACCTTGCTTTTCCATCACAATATTCTGAATGTCGCTTTTCAAGTCAACTGAATTACTCATATCAAAATCAGGCTGTAACCTTTCTCTGGGGGTCCAGCATAGACTGTCCACCAGTGATTGGTCACTGAAGCTATTCAGTAGATAAGTTAACTGCTGACTTCTTTTTCTTCTCTCAACTGGAAACTCACAGGTGAGGGCCCTGTATTTTCTTCTGGGCATGATTTGAAGGAGCTGACTGGTGAACAAGGCCATGATTATCACACTGAAGTATTTCAAACCTGCTCTGAGGTAAGCCAGAGAACAGTCCCATTGCATGAAAATAATCACTATATTAAATATTGAGCCAGCCTTCAAGTTTCCAGATAAGGTTTTGTCTACGGGGCCTACCCACTATGGCGGTAGTGGGATCTCTGTGGTCACTGGTGATTCCTTATTTAACTTCGACTTTTAAGATGTGATTATGGGCTCTGGGAGATAGTAAGAGCATTTGCTGTACAAGCATGAAGACCTGAGTTCCCAGCATTCGTGTGAAAAGTTGGGTGTGGCTGCACACATCTACAACCCCAGCACTTGGGGAGGAGGGTGCAGAGACAAGAAGATATCAGAGCTCAGTGACTGCCAGGACAGCCAAAAAACAGGGAGCTCTGGATTCAAAAATCAATGAGCGCTGGACTCTGTGAGAGACTCTTGTCTCAAGGGAACACAATAGTGATAGAGCAGGACACTGAATTTCCTCCTCTGGTCTCTGTGCAGGTTAACATTGGCATGCACACATGCATAACACACACACACACACACACACACACACACACACACAGAAAAAAGGAAAAATAAGTAACTGATTTGCTTCTAACTTTACATGACAGAGGCTATAAAACACACAGTGCACCCAGAGTTGCCATCTCCGGGTTGGGCGGGGCGGGGGGGGGTTGCTTTGGTGCACAGGTTTTGAGTAATAAAAGCTGAGGATACACATCTTTTAAAAAAGAATTTAAGATTATAATTAAGTTTTTTTTTATTTTACGTATATGAGTGTTTTGCCTGTATGTATGTAAGTGTACCCATGTTAAGCAACACCCACAGAAGCCAGAAGAGGGCATCAGATCCCCTTGAACTAGAGTTAGAATGGTTATGAGCTGCCATATGGGTGCTGGGAACTGAGCTTGGATCCTCTGGAAGAGCAAGAATTGCCCTTAACCACTAAGCCATCTCTCCAGCCCCCGATTATTATTATTATTATTATTATTATTATTATTATTTTGGTCTTTTTGAGACAAGGTCTCCATGTAGTCCCAGCACGCCTGAAACTCACCATATAGACCAGGTTGGCCTTTATCTCACAGAGATCTTCCTGTCTCTGCCTCCCAAGTGGGGGGGTGATTAAAGGAGTGTGCCACCATGCCTGGCCCAGATTATTAATTTTTTTAAATGTTTAAACTGGCCTGGGAAGATGACTCAATCAGTAAAGTATGAGGACCTGAGTTTGGATATCTAGCACCCACATTAAAAAAAAAAAAAGCCAGGCATGGCAGCACACACCTGTAATCCAGTGCTGGGGAAGCAGAGACAGGAGAATCCCTGGATCTTGCTGACAAGCCATCTTAGCTGAATTGGTGAGCTTTAGGTTCAGTGAGGGACCCTGTCTCAAAAATTAAGGTGGAGAATGACTGAGGAAGATACTCAGTGTATAAGATACTCTGGCACACACACACACACACACACACACACACACACACACACACACACACACACAGAGAGGCACTTACAATCACATCCCCTGAATCGAACACATATACACAAATGTTTAAAATAAAAACCCCAGTTAGTGGAAAAGAGAGAACATTCACAGAGAAAATTATAATGTTTTTTACATTTTTGCCAGCCTTATAGTTTCTATCACCAAGGAAAAGAATTAACCTCTCCAGTTTTACTTTTCTGCCCCATTTATCGTATTAAGGAGAAAAATTGCAAATAACCACAGAAGAGACACAAAAGTTTTGGTTGCCTTATAAATACGTTAAACTAACCCCTAAATAATAAAAAGTTTACATTGAATCCAATTTTAAGTAACACATTGTTCATTTAATGAGCATTTATTGAGCATCTACTTTAAGGATGCTACATCATGATACTAGGGAAAACAGGAGGACATTAACATGTTTCTTGAGAAACGTAAGCTGGAAATGCACTTGGGCAATGACTAGAATTCAATAACTCATTACCTGACCCGAAGATTACTTAGCCTAGTTTTTCATTCGCTAATTTGGTCATTTCATGGAAGGACAAACAGGAAAAGTGATTCATTTACTGCTTTATGAGGAGATGGAAACAAGCTAGAGCTAAGACTTAGACTTTTTATTTTGAACAAGGTCTCATGTAGCCCATGCTGGCCTTAAACTCATTATAGAGCCAAGGCTGGTCTTGAACTCCTGATCGCTCACCTCCGCCTACTAGCGCTCTGATTATTAGGTGCACCACACACCTAGCAAAACAAACAAAAGATTTAGTTCTTTTGTTTCCTACATTAATGATGTTTGCACAGTATTCTGTTCTTTGGCCTGCGGGGGTTTGGTACTTCCAAAATCATTTTCACACTAGGTAGTAGCCCAGTAGTAGAACTCTTGCCTAGCATGCACAGGGTGCTGGGTTCAATTCACCATACTGAAAAAAATCATTTTTCTACTGGTACCCATTATGTTTAGCTAAAACAGAAAAGTATCTAAAAGAACTAGTAGGGCCCTATAACCTCCCCAGGAGTCTGCCTTTGTCGCTTTGCTGTGATATCTGGATGAACTGAGATCTGAAAAGATGGGCAGCATGGAGCTTGACAAAGGCCAGGTTTGGAGGCCCTTCTAACTCTTGAATGCCTCTGACTCACCGAAAGACTCAGTGTATAAATAGTACTTAGTCCTAAAAGTAAAATACTTAGTCCTAAAAGAATGCAAGAGTACTTTCTTTTTTTAAGATTTAAAAAAATATTTTATCTATTTTTTTTTAATTTTGTGTATGCGTGTATTGCCTGCATGTAGGTAAGTGCACCATGTCAAGCAGTGCCTGCAGAGGACAGAAGAGTCTTTTGGATCCCCAGGAACTGGAGTTACGGACAGTTGTTAGATGCCATGTGGGTGCTGGGATTCGAACCCGGGTCTCCTGCAAGAATAGTCAGTGTTCTTAGCTTCTGAGCCATCTCTCCAGCTCCTTAAGATTTATTTTTATTAATTTAAATTATGTGTATGTTTGTGTGTCTGTGTGTGAGCATGCACACATGAGCGCAGTTACCCATGGAGGCCAGAGAGGGCACAAGATCCCCTTGGAGCTGGAGCTTACAGGCAGTTGTGATCCACCTACTATGTGTGCTGAGAACCAAACTTAGGTCCTCTGAAAGAGCTGTACATGCTCTTAACTATTGAGCCACCTCTCCAGCCCCAAGTGCTGATTTCTTTAACATTCATTCTTGGATAAATATGAGCACCAAGAACTTGTACAAAATTTTAATTTCCAAGTAGAACCAGCAAACAGAACAGAAAAGAATGAGCTAGATACTTCATTGTTTATGCACAAGAAAATTTGATTCTAGAAAAAAAATTGGAAGTCTCTACATTAGCTTGGCCTCTCCAGACTAGAGCACATTTGTTATAGACCACAGGTACTACCTGATGGTCAGTTACTCACAAATCAAGAGAAGGGCACACCGAGTCAGGATGAGAAGAGCTCAGCTGTGGAAGAGCTAAAATGACTTTGGCTTACACTAGAGACTCCGCTTGTGTCTTCTTCCGTCTTGTTGACAGTTGGATATGGAGACCTGTTCCTTGAAGAGATCCAGCAATGAAATGAGAGTGTGTTGCTTTAGAAAAGAATGCAGAGAGGAAAGGAAAGAGTGTGGAACTGTTAGTAACACTGTTAGATGAGGCTGGGGCGGATCAGTGGATGTCACCTTCGGAGTAGGCAGAACTCAAACACTCAGGAAGATCAGAAAGGCAGTGTCAGCTCTTGACTCCCACAGGTTTGATTATCCTTGCTTGCTCATTACCTGACTTCCTTTTGTCTTTTTGAACTGCTCTGTGAATTTATTTTAAATATTTTTCTTTTTAAAAATAAATACACCTTACAGAAGATTTTGAAGATTCAGAAAAACAAAAATAAGTTATGATTGCCATACCATAACCATGCCAATACAGAGAAAACTGCAGTTAATATTTTGCTATATTTATTTTTAATATTTTTTCAATTTTTAATTAATTTTATTTTATGTGTATGAGTGTATTGCCTGCATGTGTGTAAGTGCATCCGTGTTGTACAGTGCCTGTGGAGGACAGAAGATGGAATTGAAGTTATAGACACCATGTGGGTGCTGGGATTCAAACCCAGGTCTTCTGCAAGAACAGCCAGTGCTCTTCACTGCTGAACCATCTCTCCAGCCCCCATTTTTAATAATTTTCCATAAGTACATAATTATTTGAATACTTGTGTAGATGTGATTATAATATGCAATTGTACTATATGGCCATAGCACTAATTTCTTTGTGTCAGGAAATATTTCACATACTCTATTTTCATTAATTTATGTAGCTGTCTTGTTCTGTTAGGTTGGTGCTAGAATTATGCACATCTTACTGACGTGAAAACTGTGGTTAGGTAGCTTGTCTGGGGTTAGTTAGGCAGTGAGTAAGTGACAGACTGGGCATCAAATCTCACTCTTTTCTACACTATAAGCCCTGGGCCACCAGACTATTTTCCCCCTTGAAATTTTTCATTTCACTGAAAATGATGCATTTATTAAATGGATAGTTTAGTTTAAATAGTCATTATATTTGTCACCTTCATATTGGTATAATGAGGCAATTAGCGTGTAAAAAGAAAACATTTATTTAGCTCATGGTCCTGGACATTCAAGGCCAAGATTTGGTAGCTGCATTGTTCTGAGCCCTTGTTGAAAGTACCAGATGATAATAGCAAGGATTGCAGGTCAAGTAAACTGCTCACACCACAAGCCAGGAACCAGAAAGGAAGGGTGGGATCAGCCCACAATAACCTTTGAGGGTCTGTGCCAGTGATCTAAGGATCTCCCACAAGGCCCCATCTGCTAAGCTAGTTCTATAGCCTCCTCATAACACCACTCTGGGGACAGATCTTTACTATATGATCTTTTGGGGGACATATTCCCAAACCACAGCAGCCGTTTACTTATTTTTGTGCATTTGAATCATTTATAGTTTCTATGATATAAAATAATGATTGGAGAACGTTTGACTATAGAACTTTTTACCATTTTCAGATTACTTCTTAGATGTAGGATGCCTAGATCAAAGGTATAAACATTATTAATAATGTTTAATATACACTGTGTAAACTATTTTTCTACTAGGTTTTCAGAATTCTAACCTTTTATATGTGATGCCACATAGACTGCAATGTCACTAGATTGGCTTTTCATGGGTAACTTCAGATCTTGGGCAATGTACTAACACTCACAACTAAAGAAATGAGGCCCATCAGTAACCTGCCCCAATCACTTTCTGTGGAAGGCAGGAACCAGTTTTATTCAGGAGAAATTGTGTGTGTGTGTGTGTGTGTGTGTGTGTGTGTGTGTGTGTGTGTATCTCCATTTTTCTGGGAAGAGAGCCATTAACATTTGCTAGATTCCCCAAAGATGGCCCCATCCTCTCCAAAGGAAAAAAAAGAGACTTACTATGCCTTTAATATATAGGCATGCATTCTTTAATAATGAGGATAGAATTGGAGAAAGGCATGGAGAAGTGCTTTCATAATTCACACAGCAGCATAATCTACTTATAGAAACACAGATGATGCAGCCTACACTATACCTAGATACATGGTATAGAGAAGGGACAGCCAGCTCCACACATGGGTACATGGCATATAGAAGGGACAGTCAGTTCCACACCTAGAAACATGGCATATCTGTTCTACACCTGGGCTACATGACATATAGATGGTGTACAAGATTTGATCAAGCACAAGTTGACACTACAAGCAGTTAGACAAGTGTTGCGAGAATTTTCTCGGTGGGTGGGGCGGTAAGCAACATCTACCAACCTCTTCTAAGATCCCAGTAACAAATCAAAGTTCAAGCCCACTAAAATTTACCCTGAAGAACCAATGATCTTATTAGACTTATTTATGGAGCATAGGTTACAGGCAGCAGCGTGGGTGACCCTAGAGCAGTTGCACTGAAGGTCTGCACCCAGCATGGATGATGGCTTCCCCATGGCTATGCAGATGAAGCTCTTTCCATAGTCTCCCCCAGCCTATATACTCTGGCTCCTCCCCAAGACCCTGAGGCCACGTGCAGTTAGGGAACAATTACATACCACTAGCTGGAAGGAGTGTCTGGATGCTCCAATGAGGGTCCCACGACCCCTTTTGTGAGGGAATGTCAACAGTCAATGATCCAGCAAGCAGACGCAGCCCGTCGGTGGCTGTTCTCAGAGGACAATGCTATATATACAACAAGAGGTAAGCAGGAGCTATATGAAACTGCTACCAATTAATACAACGTACAGTTTATAGGGGACTTTCTTAACAAATAGGAGTATACTCTAAAGTAGTGATTTTTAAAGTGTGAATTCACGAAATCTGTGTGACTGAGTCAGAAAGATTGCAAATTCAAGGCCTTTCTGGGCTACAGAGCGAGTTTTGAACCCAGCTTGGGCAATTCAGTGAGACCTTATCTCGACTGCAATAGAAGAGAAGCTGCGGGTGTGACTCAGTGGTAGAGCACCTGCCTGTTATACAAAAGGTACTGGGTTCTGTCCCTAGCACTCCAGAAGCAAAATATAATATAGTGAATCCAGGCAGCAGCAGCACAGTCACTTACTTCTCTCATCAGGTATTATACACTGTACGTAACTGTAAGCAGTCGCCTTCACACGGCTCGTAATACAGCAGGTTTGCTCAGAGCAGAATCCCCACAAGCGCGTGAATAATGCATTGTACTAGAGTTAGGATGGTTAACTCCAAGCTCACTTAGGTGGTAGGAAGTTTTCACTTCCATCATAACCTTATTTAACACGTACACGTGCATGTGTGCACACGCACACACTTCTAGATGCCAGAGGACAACTTAGGTATCATCAAGAACTCCATCCACTTCTTTTGAGGAAGGATCTCTTACTGGCCTGGAACTCACCGATTAGGCTAGGCTGGCTGTCCAGCAATTGGAGACAGGGACCCTCCTGTCTCTACCTTCCCAGTGCTGGGATTATAAGCATGGGCCACCATGTTGGGCTTTTTCTTTTTCTTCTTTTTTGGCAGGGGTGGGGGTGGGGTGTCTGTGGATTGAACCAAGACCTCATGCTTACTAGGTAAGTGTTCTGCCTCTATGCTATATCCTCAACCCTCACCTGACATTTCATGTGGGTTCTGGGGATTGAACTGAGGTTCTCATGCCTGTGAGGCAAGTACTTTATCTAGTGAGTTATCTCCCTAGCGCCATCACAGTCTTAGAGGACCACCATTGTATATGCAGTCTGTACTTGCCAAAACATGGTTATGTAGTGCCTGACTGTATAATTGGTTATTTTAGGGGGGAACAAGCTGACAAATATCAAGTGTTTATTAATATAAAAGGTGAGTTTCCTAGGCAAAGATCTTCAAATCTATGAAGGTTGTTTTTCTTTGAACTGTTGCCTTGGGGAAAAGCCCAGATGCAGTTTCTAGCTTCCCTCCCAACTTGCCAAGGTTCAAAGAGCAATAATTTAGAAATCGAAGTTGCCATGGCAACACAATCTGTTTAGAGTGTCATGAAAAAAATAAGCTTCAAAAATAAGTTAGAGTTCTGGTACTTTCTGACGGTGGGGGTCACAGGAGCATGGCTTCGTCTCTTCTTTCTGTGCTAAGGGCACTGTTTGAGGAATTTTGCTTATTTTGATGACAGCAGGGTGTCCCCCTCCCCCACTTTAATGGAATTTAGAGAGTATACTATTCGTGGTGGTAATTTGAGAAGTAATTACTAAGGAAATTGCCTTCAAGCCCCTTTCCCACCTTAATTTTTCAAGGAAGCACCAAATGCCAATTTCAGACTTTTAACACAGGGGCTGCCCACAGGCACAGGAGAGCAGAAAGGTTTGTGAGATCAGAAAGGGGCTGATTGCTCCCTGGTGTCAAAAACCTACAGTTCTTCAGTGGGTTGCTGGAGAAGCAGGTAGAGGAGACTGTCACCTTGAGGAGCTGGGCTCAGACTCCACCGCCACCCTCATACTCTGGTCTTAGGTGAGTGACTCCTCCCAACTTCAGGTCCTTGTTGTTAAATGGGGTTCCTTCCTCATGGACTTCCAAAACACCGAATTACACAGCCTGCTTCAGAGTGGAGATTTAATACAAGCTGATAGTTTTTGTGCTCCCCGTCCCTTCTTTTCTTCCTAGATTCTGGTGAACTAATGCATAAGAAAAATGCTATGGAAAGGCAAAGCCGTGCACAGTGACAGATACTCACATGGCTCCTCACTCTGCTTGGAAATGAAGTGGTGTATTTGTCCTGCAGGTCATGATGCTGATTCAGAACCACCCTGTCCCCATTATCGCCATGGTCAATGGCTTGGCCACAGCTGCTGGCTGCCAGCTCATCGCCAGCTGTGACATCGCTGTGGCGAGTGAGAGATCTTCTTTTGCCACTCCTGGGGTGAATATCGGGCTCTTCTGCTCCACCCCTGCGGTTGCCCTGGGGAGAGCGGTGCCCAGAAAGGTAACTGAACTTCCTTGCAAGTGCTCATGAGGCTCCAGAATTGGCTGATTGGACATACCTTTTAGGGGTGGGGAGATGGCTCCGTGGGTCACACATTCATGCATGAGGTCATACACACAAGCATGAGGACCTTAGTTCAAGCCCTAGAATCCACATAAAAAACCCAGGTGTAGTAGCATCTGCTTATAATCCTAGCACTGGTAAGGCTCAGACAGGTGGATCCCTGGGGCTTGCTGGCCACCCAGTCTAGCCTATTTGGTAAGCCCCAGGCCCATAAGAGACCCTGTCCCCTCCCACAAAAACATATGGATGATGGTGCCTAAAGTTGTCCTCTGGCGTTTGCACACATGTGCACACACAGGTACACATACACAAAGTACCTTTTACATCGGGACATTCTACCCAAAGGCCACTGGTGTCCCTTCCATGTTGGAGAGATAAGCTCACTGCCTGTTCAACTGTAGCATCTAAGAACAGGCATCAACTTCTGAACTCTTGACATTTCAATATTATAAGTCTCTCAGTATGGCTAGTTATGTTTTTCAATTTCAGAAAAGCATAGTCTTTTTGTAATCTTATTTTTTCAATTTTTAAAATTTATTTTTGTTTTATATGTATGAGTGTTTTGCCTGCATGTATATAAGTGCATCCATGTTGTATAATGCCCACAGAGGCCAAAAGAGAGGTATAATCTTAATTAAAGTTCAATTGAAGGACTGCAGAGATGGTTCCATGGTTAAGAGCATTGGCTGCTCTTGCAGAGGACCAGGTTCAATTCCCAACACCCACATGGTGGCTAACAGCTGTCCATACTCCAGTTCCAGGGGATCTGACATTCTCTTCTGGCCTCCTTGTTGCACAAAACTGGTGCACTTACCTGCAGGCGAAACACACACATATAAAATTAAAATAAATAAATCAGTTTTTTTCTAATTTAAAAAATGCAATTGAAGCTCAGTTTTGTTGCACGAAATGGTTGCCCATTGGATATAATAAATAGCGTGCTGGCATAATGCCAGTGTCAAAAGGCAGGGTTTGAAATCCTGGCTAACTACTTCTTGACAAGTCTCCTCGTTCCAGAAAGGATTTAAAGTAGTTGGTTTCCTGTGTTGGGTTTACAAAAGGTAGATTTCAAGACCAGGGATATCCTGTACATAGAATGTGCATCTGCCTAAGGTACAGCTGCACACGGTATTGTCTTGTCATTACTAACTACAATGAAGTTCATTGTCATTGCAAAGTGTTCTTCCTTCCTGAGACCTCACAGAATCGTATTTACTGACCATCTACCTTAGGATGAAAGCAACAGTGTGTGCTCTAGGAGAAAGGGCATCCTTGCTCTCAGTGAGAAATCTGTAAAAGGGGAGAGGAATCCTACTGTACATGTGAGGCACTGACCTGCTTCCTAGAATGAATCATGTTTTAGCAACTGCTACAAAAATTAGCAGTTGCTTACATGCCTAAGGCAAAAAATGAGACCCAAAAGGAGTCAAGCAGCAGTGGAGAAGTTCCGGGGAGATC